AAAAGAATTAGTGATTTTAGATTTGATTACACATGTCGTATACCCGTTTATATTTGAAGCTCCATTTTCAGTAAACCAATTGAATGACAAAGCAAGAAGAACAAACAAATGGATAACTAAACATTTTCACCATATTCAGTGGAACGAAGGATTGATAAGCTATAAGCACTTGAACAATATCATGTATCATTTTTCTAACAAGTTTTCCCATATTTATACAAGAGGATCGGAAAAAAGACAATGGATACAACAATACACATATCACGATGTTTTCGACATAAGAATGGACAAGGATCATCAAATTAATTATGGACCTATTTGTACTTTAACAGATCACTCTTATCGCACAGTAACACAATGTGCACTACAAAACGCATACCGATTAGCTAATTTTCTAGTTCTTCACTATTGGGACAAAAATAAATTCAAACAGCAACAGTGGAAGTATTACGAAGGAAATAGCAGTGGAGGGGGGAACGTGTGCTATAAATACAGTGGACAGTCTCAGGATCCTCATCAGTATTACTCCAGACATCGCAGAGGCAACATCTCACAGGGTAGTCCTAATCAAGAAAATGGCTTCACAACAGTTTCTCCAGTCTTTGGTGGATCAGTTCAACACCCAGTCCAAATCCAGCATTCTAAGTACTAAGAAATGTCACGAATTGAAGGAACACAAACACTACATCGTTCACGAGCTGAAGAAGACAGAAACTTCACATGGAGACGCAATTTTAGCATCACTGAGCGAGGCACCGTTTTCACCAGGTGATGAACCGAAATTTCAAGTTTATCTTCCAAGACGATTTGTGCAGCAACTACAAAACGAAGACCTGCGAGGTATTCAACCAGGATCCCTCTATTTGGTATCACACGGAGTTTGCGGAAACAATTCCACTGAACTATCTCTACACATCACCCATCAATGTTAGTTTTAAGTTTTTTTCTGTAAATAACCATCTATGTACATATGTTTGTTAAATGTTTTTGTCATTAAAAAAATAAATAAAAAAATTAAAAGAGGAAACAACATATCAGCATATCATTAATTCTATATGCTGATATGTTGTTTCTTTTTTTTAAATTCAAACAAATGACCTTGAACTTTTTACTATAAATAACAGGTCTTACACGCAGTTGCTCTCAGTCTTGTTTAAACAATTCACCGAGCATCATGTCACAGCGTAAATACAATTTACCTTTTGTTTACAAATCCAAATACGATTTGGATAACTATTGTTGTAATTTAAAATGTTTTAGAAAGCCTGAAAGTAAAGTTGATGGAAAAGTTTGTAAAAAATGCGAGTCTGTTGGCTATTGCAAATATAGGTGTAAAACATATCAAGACAAGCATCAAAATTACATACACGATCTAACACAAATGGTTAACCTACTATGGAAAAATGTAGACTAACTTGTGGCAGATGCATGAGAGCTGCTGACTCTTGCACTATAAATAGCAGCTCACAACACATTGCTTTTCATTCTTGTTTTAGAATTCAGTCGAGCAACATGTCACAGTGTAATTCCAATTCATCTTTTGATCCCAAATCGGAATACGATTTAAAATACTATTGTTGTAATCTAAAGTGTTTCAAAACACCTGAATGTCAAGTAGATGGAATGGCTTGTAAAAAATGTGAATCGTTCTCCTATTGTCAATGTAATTGTAAAACGTATCAAGAAACACGGAAACATCACTCACAAGACAAGGGACGTAGAATCAAAATACATTTAAAACGGATGGAGTGATACCCTCATGATGCTCTCTCCCACCTCTACTACTTTCCCCCACCCCTACTGCTTTAGCTCCGCCCACTTCGTCAGGGACCTGCACTTCTTTACACGCAACAGTCACTTCGCATCCAGCTCTTCACCAGTCAACTCAACCTTTCTCGTTTACTTTGCACAAGATGGCCAACCTACAACAACAACAACAACAACAACAACAGTGGACAAGTGATATTGAAGACTCTGACCTACACCAAGCATGCATCGAAGCAGAAGAGCAGGAGCGAAAACGAAAGGAAAAAAAACTACTTCAACTGCTAGAGGAGGAGAAAGAGATTCGACGCAAATTTGATCGTGTTTGGTGCGCTCAGCCTCGAGACAACATCGAATGGGCCGAGCACAATGCAGACATGGCAAGATGGAAAGAGCTCCATAATACAATAGAGGAGTTGAAGAAGTAAACATCCAAGTACAACAAGCGTCGCCGAACTACACAAAACGGCCTTTATAAAGGCCACCAATAAACTCATTCGTTTTACACTTTAGCAGACGCTCACTCTAGATACGTACGTTCGCACATGTTTTCCTTATTTATTGTAATAGTATGTAAGTTATTGTCATTCCTCATGTTTTATACAAATAAACAATAAACAAAACAAGGAAGCTATCCTACACTACAACTGTAGGCTAGCTTCCTTTTTTTAAAACACAAACAAATGACCTTGAACATCATATGATCATCCTTCGTGACGTCACCTCAAATCCGCTATAACTACGCCATTTCCGCCCCTATCTTCAAAACAGCTGATGGCGGAGAAACCCTAATAATGGTCTACTGAGGATGATTTAAGTTTGAGATTGTTTTGGCTACAAGAGGGTATTTGATTTGCACAAATGTTCTAAATGCAAAATGTCCTTCGGAGAAGTTTCAGTGGTAATTCTATCTAAGAGTCGCAGGAACACTCCTAACTTTATTGAACTTGTCACGCAATCTTCAGTACTTTTCTTCAATTGCTACAATCTTTGATCTCACTTGCAATCTTGAAGTACAGAAATAGTCACTTGCAATTTAGGTTAGTAGGTACTGCCACGCAAAAGTAGAGTTTGTATTAAGATATTTTAAACTAGCTTTAACAAAAAATTTCCACATTATAGAAAGATATTCTGACCTAACTGGTATTTTTGAATATAGATAACTAACTTACCTGGGAAGTACAAATTGCATTCCTGTAATTAAGTTATGTAGCTTAATTTAATTTCCCTAGTTAATAAAATAACATTTACTTTTACTACAGTAACCGTAAATAGCTATTGTTTCACTACCTAATACCACAGAATACATACTACGAGTATGTATTCTGTGCTAATACCAAAGATTAAGCGTTGCTTAACACAAAATATAGGCCTAGCGTATTTCTTTACTCTTTTTTTTCCATAGTTGTGTTAATAAGGGCTGTTTAATCTTGATAATCAAGAAAATACTATCCAAAATATTACAAATTAGTTATTTTGAGTAAAATATCTTTTATGCACTTAAAACATTTTCAGTTTAACTGTTTTACTAGAATGATGCAAGTATCACTTTGAACACATACACAAATAAATGTTTCAACAGATAACACGGTTTTAGCGTCAGGAACCAGCTGTTGTCGAGCATTGTTGACTTTGTGTTTATCTGAAGTGAAGTCAAGTCTATTTCAGGCGATGCCAGAATCACATTCGACAAGACATTAAATTTCCGCAAACGTTAAGTGAAAAGTTTTACAGCTCATCACATTAACAGTAGGTCAATAATTATGATCGATATGTAGTTGTTATATCTCGATGTACAGCATAAAAAGTAAAATAAATATAATAAAATACAAACACCTTTAGGAAGTCTTAAAACGTCCATCGTTGAGAAATATTTACAATCGAAACTATGGTATATCACCATACTTAATCACAATTTTGGCAGAAGGTTTTGAGTTGGGAGAATTTGTTTTAGAAAGATATTCATTGAATATTTTGTACATACTAATGTATATATAGATTTATAACATCCATTGATCAGCCAAAACGTTTGGCCTATATGTAATTAGTTACTTACAGTTCATGTACCGTAGGAGAAGTTTGTTGTTTAGGTCTACCCTACCATGTGTTTCTTGTAATTTAATTGAATTTTTTTTATTGTAAAAAAAATAATAAAAAATAATTACTTGATGTACTTGCTTTTATTCATCCGGCCCAATATTGAAACTAAACATACTCAATGCTTAAAGATCGAAATCTACAATCCACTATTGAATGTCAACAATTAAACGTAACCCCAAATTACAAAAAAAAAACTTTAAATTTACAATAGTGCTTGATGTTATTTTCAGTACCCAAAGCCAATGTTGAACACTTGTTACACAAATGGAGTAGTTTAACAACGCCACGGCTGCCATGCAACGAGGCCTAGTAATGAACAGACACGCGTAAAGCAGGAAACCCACTGGTCCGACACTCTCCGACACGACACCTTCCGTCAAGTCTCCAACACCTTCAGACAAAATTACTTTGCATGACTTTAAATGGTGTAACCCACTAGTCCGACACGACACCTTCCGATCCGACACGTCACGACAACATTGCTCTCTGGGGCATTCTTGTCGGATGTCGGATCCGTCATTTCTCAACTCTGTGTTCACCAGGCCTAGATTTAGTCACTGTTTAGCTTTGTGTGTGATGTTTTTGTACAATTATTGGTTACGGAGAAGATCCAAAAATATGTTATTTTAAAGTTCCCATGTTATTCTTATGGAGAATATCGTAAAATATTGTAGTTTGCTTTCCAATGGATATATTTTGGTCAAACTTGGTAAATTTATTTATTTTATACTAAGTTATTAATATTTTACTAAAATCACTCTTTTTTACCCTCCCTGTCAAAAGCAAGCCTAGGTACTCATAAAACCTAATGTTAATTAAATACATATTATTGAAAACAATTCAGGCAAATTGAAATTCGCTTAAACAGCAGATTTTCTGCGGTGGGGGTATTATTTTTCATGTTTTGTATTGTACTTTTTGCTAATTTCCCTGTGGTAAAGTAATTGTAACCGGAATGATCAAGGTGGGTCTAGGAAGGTACCTGACCATTGTAATCTCACATACTAACAGAGATCGTCATAAATGTTATGGACTTTTTATTGTTTGCTTTTGTCTCCCTATCTACTGCTTGTGAACAGTATATGATCACATGTTCTATCGCAACTGGCACTGTTGGAGTGGTGGTGTATTTCTAGTCGGAGGCCTACTGTCGGAGCCCGTCGGACCAATGGGTTAAGGTCTTAAAATTGTGGAAGGCATCGGAAGGTGTCGGAGACTTGACGGAAGGTGTCGTGTCGGAGAGCGTCGGACTAGTGGGTTTCCTGCTTAAGCGGAAAATGGATTGTATCACGATTGACTTCCGTGACTTTGTCGAAATGGCGTTTGAATTGTAATTCCACCACTTATTAGACACCAGGCTTAATTACCTGCTTACAATGTGTGTTGTTTGATTTCTTGAAATAAAATTCATAAAAGCATACACTCCATAACGGTATTAAACTACACAATAACCTATCCCAGTCCCTGAAGTTGGAATCAAACCATTCAAAGTTTAGAAAACGTTTGAAAGATTATCTCATTAGCTTCTCATGTTACAGCGTCAAGGAGTTTTTTTTCAACCTGTAATAGAGAATGATAAGCTCAATTTGTTTTTGTAAATAGATGGTAAGCTTATTTGTAAATATTATTTGTAAGTGTAGCCTTGAGTTGTACTTTTTTTTCTGACTAAGCTAATGCAAAAATATCTTTGTTAATTTTTAGCTAAACAAACGAATTTGAATTTGAAGCCCTAAATAAATTTAGTTTTAATCTATTACAAGTGTTTTACGTGTTCTTTTGTCAGACTTAAAGAATGGACATACTGTTTTATCCAACTTAATTTGACCAAACGAAATGCCAATTCAAAATAATGGAAAATAGATGTACTTATAGATAAACTTTAAAACAGAGGACAGAAAGCTTTATTTGATGAAAGCTCACCAAGATTCTGAATTCTGGTTCAAGTTCATACATTCAGTTGCGTAAGAGCTAGGGGTGAATCACGCGGTTATTTAGGGGATGGGTGGGAGGGTGAGTCATCTTTTGAGCACATCTCTTCTTTTGAAGATATTCTTGTTTTGTTCTTAGGTTGAATGGGTAAACAATTTCTTTCATGAGTACAGTACGTAATGCTTACTTTAAAGATGTAAAAAAGTTTAATGATGAATCGTTTAAAATACTGTTTAAATGCCAGGAAATATTATGGTTTGAAATAATTTACACGTCACGACTTTTAATTAGCGTCGCCATTCGCCAACAGAGAATAAAGACAGACACAGCCCCGATCTTTATTCTATATACTTGTTATATAAATAATAAATACCAGAAGAGGGGTGGGAATGGTAAAAATGCCTACTAATGCTGAATACCTAAATGCCGGGCAGCGGTCCTCAAATATTACACCATGCACTCTTTTACATGTTATTTAACACGTTAGCTTACGCACATTATTTAAAATTATATTATAGAAACAGGTACTTCTTCCACGTTCCCTAAACAGAACATTAATCTGCAATCCTTATCAATATTGTCGAAACTTAATAGTGATAACATGTTTTTAAATCACGGCTAGCTAAAAAATCCCATTTTAAAATTTGTAAATCTATGGTTGAGACATGGTATGAATAAATTTAGGCTTTCTACTTTTTTAAGAGGTAAAATCATAGATATATCATCTTAGTCTTTGGTAAAATACTTGTTGGTTGTGAGATTACGACAATACAGTACCTTTACGGATTTACATTAACTTTATCTATCATTAGATAAAATTTCGAAACTACGCTCAACAAATTAAAATTTTATCCTTTACATTTTAAACCCCTTCGATTTAAAGCAATCAAAAGATAATTCCCTTATCAGATCACAGGTATAGGTAATTCAGCTGATAATGTCAGTCAGTTGTCCAATAATTTATCGACAAACAAACCACACCCAATCGCATGACTACCCGCACGCTACCTGTCGACCATTTGGTCAACTAATTCTACGTCGGTAATGCAGATCGTTGCGTGATGCTTTCAGCAAACTTGCTATTTGAAACCACACTTTCATCTTTCTGTCTATAGGGTAATCAGTGGAGAAGTAATCTAACTAAAAGTAAAAAAAACTAAATAACAAAAAAAACTATTGAACATTTATCATTTCACAGTCTTTTAGCGAATTTACCATATAGGGAATAAGCTATTACCGTAGGTCTCATGGTAAGACCTGGACCCGGGACCGATTTAGTTTTTCGTTTTGAGGTCCCCAGAGGCCAAAAACACCATCCGTTCAAATTCATATATATATATATATATATATATATATATATATATATATTTATATATGTGTCCGTTAGCGCGATAACTCGAGCAAAAATCATCCGATTTTGATGAAATTTGGTATAAACGTGTAAACCTACATTTATTCAAACGAGTTCGCGAACCAGCATGATCGGACTATGGGAACAGGGGTTTATGGGGGGTTTTATGGGGTAAAAATGGGGTTTTCTAATTTTTCACCCTGAAAACATAAAATTTTGCAATTTCTTTCCAAACCATTTTGTAGAGCTCAAAAAAACAAATAATTCAGTATATTGAAGCATTGTTGCATGCCTAACGGTTACGGAAAAATCGCAAAATAATGTAAATTTAAAATTACCATGTTATTCTTATGGAGAATAAATACAGTGTTGTAGCTTGCTTGTGTATGGACATATATTAATGACATTTTGAAATTTTTGCGAATTTCCCATATAGGGAATAAGCTATTGTTTACTTCATACTGAGCTATTAATATTTCAATAAAAACCCCCAATTCTCTTCCCTGTGGCAGCAAACCTAAGTACTCATTAATATTAATGATGTTTAAATAGGAAATAAATCTGACAATTTTAAGGGAATAATTTAGTGGGATTCCAGCTGTGTATATGGACATTCGCTTAGTCTGCAGGTTTGCTGCGGCGGGGGTATTTTAGTATTAAAATAGGTAATTTGAGCAAATCTCAAAACCTGAAGCAATGCTTCAAAAAGCATGTACACACGGTACAACTTAACTTTATCTTCTATTGTACCTAAAATTAACCCCCCCCCCTTTAATTATGGTATTTTAAATTACACTGGTACTTGTAGGAATCTTATTTGAGTGTAATTATTGTTATTGGCCACCATAAAATCTAGGCTGAATAAAAAAACACTATACAAACATAGTCTAACATGATGTATTAAAATAATGTATACTCTTCATATGTGCTGTCTTAGAATAAAAGTTGAACTCGGTTGAAAAAATTACACTCGGCTCTTACTAAAATTGTTCGTGAAATTTTTTCATAAAATCAGTAAATTTTAGTAAAAAATAGCTGTCATTTTAAATTAAAATTTGTATCAAGTTAATTTTTTCTGACATATGTATAAGACTGGGACGGGTGGCGTCGTCCTGTAATCCAGCTACTAACCGCCCGTGCTCCGCTACGGGAATATTGTCAGCAACAAAAGATATAATAATTAACAAATACTGTTTATCTTTGTATTTTATTTAGGGGCTGCTTTCTTTACATGAGGTAGAACGGATAGTTGGCCTGTATAAACTATTTATGATGTTAATCAAACCGATGTATTAATTTAACCAAATGAATGTTTAAATTAATTCGAGTTACATTAAAAAAATAAATACAGTATGAACTGCGCAATGTGCTGATGATAACCTAATGAGCTACTTATTCTATGGGGATAATTTGTTCATGTATATTCCTACATTCGTTTGCTTTCTTGTTCATTTCGTTCGTTGTGTGGAATAAAGATTGTTACTTAAATCACGCATCGACAGTTGGTCGCATTTCATGGATCTTTGACACATTCTGTGAGTGACCAGTGTGTTTACATCGTATAGAAAAGTTGGGCATACTTTGGCTCAATGTTAGAGGGTATTAACGGTCCAATCCGATGGAGGTCCGGATTAGACTACCAAAATGATTATACATCGAAGTGAGACTTATAAACTTGCCATTGAAAATGCAGAGTTTTATGATCTTATATTATTCAAATAGTTTTTTGAATGTTTTTTTTTTGTTTCTTTTGATACATACTTCATTTAAAGTCTATATAGCCCCGTTGATAAAATTTTCTATGAACTCAGAATGTTGATAAGGAGGTAATTTTACTTTCCCCTTGTGGCAACATAAGGAGAATAATATATACGTGTGTCCCTGTTAGTCCGTTCTGACTCTAAATTCATTGATTTGCAATAGTGACAAATCCAATTTAACAACCCCAATTTAAAAAATCGGCGTTTTTTTTAGGAACTTCCAGAGCACGTTTAACTCCATCTCTGCTATTTACTTTTTAGTTTGATGGTTCTCAACGTTTTTTTTCGTTCTTATTTCTTCTTTACGCACAGTTAATGACTTACCTACCTTTTCTTTTTCTTTTTGTACTTTTCCCACCGTGGGGATTATGATTAAGTTTTGCGTCAACTTTACCTTTAAACATCAAGTCACACACTTTTTCGCCAGAACCGAAATCGTAAGTCACAGCTTCTCAACCGACTTCCCTGTGTACTCGAAAAAAAGTTAGGGTATAGTTCACTGATAAATTGTAGTTCCACATATCGAGAGTACTCGCCATCTTGAGTAAGATTCATCATCTAGGTAGAATAAAATGTTTGTATTTTTCTCACTTATTAGCAATTTTCTGTACAACTTGCAAGTGGATTTCCCAATGATTGTTCTGGTGGCCGTAGAGAATAAATTATATTGATCTGAACCATCGATTCTAAACAAACAGTTCTGTCTCCTACTATGGGTATTATTTCATGTTCCATACTGAAACCTAAACTCGATTAGCACTTTCCTTCAAATCTGTTCGCAGTAAAACTAATACATTACAAAATTTACACAAAAACTTAGGCTACAAATAATGTTTAAATACACTTAAAATAACACATTGTGGTATAATAAATTAACAAATACGAAATACACTTTCCCCTGTTTGACATCGTGTCTGTTTTAACAGGAACTTCTAGATAAATAATTACATACTGAAAGTGAGGTTATAAAAATAATAACAAATGTCTGACAAACATTAAACAGCTGAGGAATAGTTTATAAACTGTATATTATATTCTTCAATACTAATTGTATTGACTCAACCTTTGAAGGGCTGTAGGTCGTAGCCCTTAGAAAAAACTTAAATTCTAAGGAAGTTCGGCAAATCTACGGATTATCCCCTTCAATTTGAGACATAAATCTTGCAGATCGGTCTAGTAATTACTGAGAAAACAGTGTTACAACTGTGTATTAAATATATAGATATGTCGGCCTTAGTCACTAACAATACTACAAGATAGCGCCACTCATCCTACACTCATCCCCATTCATACTTGGCTTGAAATACCTACTTTGTATGGTCGCCATTTCATCAAAAAGTATAAGTATAAAGTATTTTACTCAAAAATACATACCAAGATTCATAAAAATTGGTTGGAAAATCTTAAAGATAAACATTGTATGTGAAAGAAACAACATGATGCATATCTGGTTAACAAAATTCATTTTTTGACCCATAAAACCATTTCCCAAAGTTAGACTTTTTACTTACAATAAATTAACCCTGTAAGTCTCTTTAGAATAACCTAATTGAAGACAAAGAAAGATGTTAACATTGTTTCCTTTAATGTATTTCAGTTTCAAAAAATTGTGTTCAGCAATTTTTTAATTGAGCACCACCCCACTACCTGCCAATGTCAAGCATACTTCATTATAATCATCCTCACAAAATGTCAACTTCAGCTAAATGTATGACCAATGCTAATTTTACAAAATTATATGCTGATTTTGTTAATATTTTACAAAAATACATCTGTTTTGTGAAACTAGGAAATGAAATAAAAACAATGAATTGTTATTGTGATGTGCTATAATGTTAGAACTACATCTTAAAATGTGTAAGTAAATGCATTTCCACTTTTTTCGATAATATTTCCGATATCTATGCAATATTCTGTTAGTAGCAATGTTTTACGATTAATTATTAAATCAGTACAGTACTGTAGTAAGATTTTAAGAACAGTACTGGGATTTCAAGTGTATCGACTGTTACCTTCCAGTTACTGTTCTATACAAAAACATTAAAACTGTCGCTGACTTATAATATAATACTTTGAATCATACAGATAACAAATTATTTCATCACTGCCAAACATCAAACAAAGTGATTGTATATTATTTCACACGCAACATTCATTGTTTTAGATGTCAGTCAACGGGGACGATAAACCAGCGACCCAGACAGACAGAAAAACTGTAGAAGAAGCTCCACCACCTGAAGAAAAGAAACTTGAAGAGAAACCACCGGAAAGCAAACCAGTTGAGAAGAGGGTGGAAGAAATGAAGGTTGAGGAGAAGAAAGACACTGCAAAAGCACAAAATGAATCTAACGCTGCTGTGGAAAACGGAGAGGTCAAAACTGGAGCCGGAGATGCAAGTAAAGAAGCTGCGACATCTTCACCCGATAAACCTGTCACCTTCAGAGAAAGGTATTAAAATCTTGATGCAAGAATTGTCAGTGATTTCGTCAAAGGTATTTTTTGTGTTAAAGTTATTGACATGCTTAACCTGTAAAGCAATATATATAAGCTGATAGCTTACCAGCCATTAAGAGTATATATATAATAATAACCAAACCTTCACTTTGACCTATCTATCAATGTAATTCAATAAATACAAGTTGTAAGGTTGATCTAACAAGGGTGCTGCTTAAGATTTAAGTTTAGAACAACTAACTGTAATACATTTGAGCTTAGATTTACCTGTTGTTTATTACTGCAGTAAACTGTTTGGTATGGTTAATAGGCGAGCAGTCTAAGGAGATGCACAGAGAAGTATGGTGCAGAGGAAACAACCGTGCGCTTTCAGCTCTGGTATGTCGATTCGGAAATATACATGTGATGAGCAAGAAGGAAGAGCCTGAATGGCAAAGCACTGTGCGGAAATTCCAATAGCTAAGAGCACAGGGTCCTCCACCGTGAGCGTTGTGGTACATGAGGGCGAGCGGGGCGTTGTAGGACTTTTCCCTGGACACCAGCAATAGTGCTGACACCACTAAACACCATTGAATATTTCCTCTATACGGGGCTAGCAGAATTTTATCCCTGAGCAAAACTGACGTCACAAACCAGGTGGTAAAATTCCAGCCGTGAACTTATGAGTTGTACAACATCAGTTAAATAAATCAAAGGTGGAATTAAACGTATATTTTTACGGTTGTAAATTTAATCAGAACACATAAAATTACAAGACCTTGAGTGTACGGGCCAGAATTTACCCCCAGACTTTTACGCCCTTCAATCAGCTCAAAATGTACGGCCCTGATTTTTACCCCTGGAATTCTACCTCTCGGATTTTTACCCCCGGAACTTTACCCTCTGGCCAGATTTAGAAATTAGTGAGAATAATTCATTTGATTTTTTCATTTTAATTCAATAGTAAACATTTTATTATTAAGTAGCCTATCTTAATTTATTTGTAACCTCAACTAATGAAACAGGGTTTTCGCTACACTACTGAGAAATAACCTGTTTTTTTACATGTTTATCACCTGCGAAAATACATCATTACTTTGTTTACCACAGCAAAAAAGAATTTTTACTATGCAAAAGTAATGTTTACTATCTTTTTGGGATTTTGCCAAAGTAAACAAACAAAGATTGAAAAGAAACATTTTTCTCCAACCCCTGGACCTTGCTTAAATGTTTGTTCCCCTAACAAAAATTTGGTGGATGCTCCAGTCCAAAGCCAGGAAGTGCAAATGAATTGACATGACGTACTATCTGAAAACTCCAAAACTCCTTAAAATAATTCAGTTAAATTGCTCTTACAGGTTCCGACAATTTTCAAAATTTGGAGACACAAAGTCTGATGGTAAGATGATCACCCTCTCTCAGAGCGACAAATGGATGAAACAAGCGAAAGTGATTGACAAGAAGATAACCACTACAGACACCGGCATCTACTTCAAAAAATTCAAGTAGGTGCTATTATCGATGCAATCATGGAGGTGCATTTTGCAAGGAGGTATCCTTTTTTTAGACAAAATTGGAGATGAACTACAAGTGGGTGTAATTTTTCAGGCAATAATTAAGGAAAATTTCAAGTAGTTGTTATTTTACATACAATAATGGAGGTGATGAATTTTAAGTACAGAATTTATTTTACAGAAAGGAATGGTACAAACATTTTATGGAAGTGTAATATTGTATTATAAGCAAAACGAAGCTTGAGAAATTGAATTAATAAGAAATAAATAACGGTATGAACCTTATTAAATTACATACAACCACGCATGATAAAAGGATAAGTAAAAATGTGTTATAAAACACAAAACAAATATCTTGAAAGCACAAACTAAAATTTAGAGTTGATTGATAATTTAGATTTTATAAGTAAGGAAGAGGTGGCTTGCATTTTTAAAATACTGTACAAATGCATTTTGTGTATTTAAAAGTCAAATAGTGTATAATTATGTCTGAACGTATTTCAGTCCTATTAGATTTTGTATTTTACTAAATAACACTTTTTTATATTAAAAAATACCATAAGGAGTTCAGGTTTGGATACTCCACTATGTAAATTTTTAGCATTAATAGCCTAAAGCAAAAAATGTTTCCTTTCTGCTATTTTTTTTTTTTATTACGCTTTTGTACCACCAATGAGTTATCGTCTGAAGTCAAACCCCTAACGATACACATTGCAACTTACATGAATATAAGTTGGGAAGTTAAAGCTGAATCTTTGCTACATCTTTTCACTTAACCATAATATTATTTTAATGAAAATATGTTTTGTTTATTTACAGGCAACAGAAAATATCTTTAAGTGACTATGAAAAGTTTTTGGAAGAATTAGCGAAGAGCAAAAAGGTTGAGCTGGAAGAAATTAAAAAGAAAATGGTTGATTGCGGAGCACCAGGTCTTTCCGGACCTTCAGTAAGTGTGTTTACAAATTTAAAAATTGTTTTTATGTAATATCATAGATAAAACATACTCCCTTAGTAGATTTCTCATCCTTATGGAACAGCTGAAGAAAATTTTATTGTTAGTTCTGTACGGTTTATGTAGAGGTCGTGTTTTGTTTACAATTTGTTTCCCGTTATTACAGCCATTTAAAACCTCATTTAACCAAATATTACGATCTAATCATAAACAACAACCTGTCCCCTAGTTATATAACCAAACAGTAAAGCACAAATCAAGAAATTAACCCTAAAATAATAGAAACAAAGTTTCGTCGACACTAGCGCCCATGTGTCACGTACATGAACTAGACACGAAAAACGTGCTTCAAAATTTACAATGGGATGAGAAGTCTACTTGTGTTGGTTAGTCTATGGTAATATTTAGTTGTTACATGCTGATTTTCAAAACTGGGATTTATTATTTGGTATAAACAATGTATATAATTTTATACAAAGTTCGTATGTAATCTAGCTACCTGAAGCATTTATAAACGTTACTCAATTTACTCAAGAATTAATCAATTTACCTACTTCAAGACTTTACTTAATATACTCAATGCATCATTAATGACTTTTGAGAAATTAAAAATTTGTAGCCTTGGAAAAGGATCACATTTATACAAACAAAGGTTAAAAATACTTATGGGAGAATTGTTTGTAATTTTTCTGGGTTCGTCCATGTGTTTGTGACCACTTCACCACACGTTTTAAACATGATATTCTGTGAAACAAACCTTGTTAACAACCCTGCTTAAACAAAAAGATTCAAATCAAGGCATTTTCCCTAATCAATAAAAAAATAAATAAAATAAACTGAATCACTCCGATCACTCAATACTTCAAACCAGTCATTGACAATCTTGTAATTGCCAAGGATATTTATGGTGTTTTTCAAAAATAAACTTACACAACAAATATTATTCAAACAACTCGATGGAAACGCCAAATTCTATGTATGGTATGTGGTTAGTGTAACATAGGCGTGAAACACTAATTGCAGAGAATAGCCTACACTTTGCAGAGAACACTTTATGGAAGAGAGAAATTCAAAAATCAGATCAAAAAGAAAAAAAATACTGTAAATTTGATTTTACAATTATTGTACTCGTGCCATCAAGTATTTTTGAGTGAGTATATTAGTACTCGACTCGATTTGAGCTTATCAAGAAAACCTCAAAGAGTGAACTTTTTTAAGAGTTGACTGGAGGCAGTTAAAACATTTGTAGAGCATGGCAGAATTAAAGCCCGATCTTAAGCAAGATATTTTATAACTCTACTATTGTAAACTGAACTTAAAACCATTACTTAAAAAACATAATGAAATAAAGTTGTTACAACTGAAAATAGAAATAAATTCATTGCTTGGTGTGGATACAGCAAAGGCAAGACTTAAATGTAAACTAGGGTTGCTTTCAGAGAGGTGAAAGCCAGTTGAGCGGAACAAACGTGATTTGATATTTGTATACGTGTTAGTTTTGCTATGGTCAAAGGTCCAAATCCAAATGTTCTCTTTTCTTTTGGTCAGTATGTAATAATTTGCTAGAATCATTGACTTTATATAAAGTCAAAGCTAGAATACTGTAGATGGTTTGTTAAGTTAAGACCATATGCAAGCATTTTTGAAATCGTTTCCCCGTTTTACCTTAACCAACTATTCCATTCCAAAAGTTAAAAATTATATGGTGCAACACAAATAAACAACCCGATCACCTACCTATAGGCCTAACATACACTTTACCTTCCTAATCTAACCTTACTTCTAAACACTTAATGTAGTCACGAAAACTCATAAACCCCGACCTACCTCCCCAGATGCCTAAATTAGATCAGTGTTCAATCTGCGTTTTATATAAGAGTAATAACTTACTGTACCGTCGATGTAATTCAACATAATATAACCTATGAGGTATTATCGGATTAAATCCCGATTTCGATGCGGTTCGATATATCGCTTATTAAATCCTGATTTCTAACATTGGCTGTTTCTAATCAGCTGGCAACAAAATAGGTTCCCAAGAAAGTAGTCACCGGTACGTATCCCTCCGCTCCTAGTTTATGCTCCGCGCATTGAGAAATAGTTCCGTATATTTTCTCGATTTTCAGTGAATTCCGCGCCTTAAAAAAATGTTTTAACGGCATTTTCTTGTTTATTAAAATCATAGGAATGGTTTAAAAACGTTTAAAAGAAAAGTATAGAAAGTTCAGAAATACCTTATGATTCTCTTGTTTACATTTTTCTTGTAAACAAAAAAACTGTCATAGCTACTTTAGTCCCATAAGCCTAATGTTAAAAATTTGAAATTTTAAGTTCGTTTTAAATTGCATTAGCATTATCTAATTGAAATTTGTTTGTTTACAAACCATCTCAGTATTAGTCTAAGTAGTCTTGTTAAGTTTGGCTGAAATGTGTTCAGCCGTTATTGAGTGATGGTGTTATATTGTTCGCATTGAAGTTGATCCCAAAGAGCTTCGCTCGCTCCGCTCAATTAAATGAAGAGGACAACTTCCTAGATCTGACTAATAAATTACAAAAGCATTATATTTTAAAGGTTATGACGGGGAGACACACGTTAGGAGCAATGTATAAATACAACGTAAACAAAACAGAGAGAGGCAACTTGGACTGTTTACCTTCCTAAATTAACAGAAAAAAAGCATGCCAATTGTTTTCTTCAACTATACAGTAAGCCTACCTAACAAGAGTTCCTTTTACTTATCGAGTTTTTTAGTAATCTTGACTTGACTCCGCTCAAATTGAATCATAAATTTACTACTTGCACACCCTTAATATTTGAATAGGCCTACTCAGTTAATTTAATGTGTAAACTTTTTCAGGGCGCAGCAAAAGCACAGTCAACGGTAGACAGGTTAACAGATCCCTCCAGATACACCGGATCACATAAGCAGAGGTTTGACGAGACAGGAAAAGGAAAAGGAATCGCAGGGCGCAAGGACGTCCAGGACAAATCTGGATATGTTCAAGGATACCAAATGAAGGACACATATAACAAAACTCACTAGGCGCTTTAAAATTTACTATTGTAAGACTTTTATTTTGTATACAATTTTGTTTATTGTTTATTTTGTACAGATGTATCGACAAGTTCAAATATATGTCTGTTTCACTATAAAAAGCATTTAATAAAAAAATACGTAGAAAATGTGTCTGGGAAGATTGCTGATGTAAAAAATATGGATCTATATGAAAAGGAATTTATTTGTAAATAGCTTTGCTTAGTTTTATATATTTGTCTGAGAAAGTGTTTTACCATTATGTTTTGCATGTTGTTGCTACAAAAAAAAAAGATTATGCTCATAAGATGATGTATGGAAAACACAATCAAAAGCTTTAAAAAGAGACCTGGGTAACAGTTTACAACAAATAGCTCTACAAATGACGGATTATGTTATAAAGTAATAAGAAATGCATGTTTGTAAGAAATGCATTAGAAAATATTGAAAGTCTAAGCACGAACGTTTGTGATAGTAAAACTTATAGAATGTCAAATTTTTTACCACTTACTGTAGTTTTGTAAACCTAACACTCGCTTAATGGGTGTAAACTCCCTGTAGATTGTCGACTCTCTTTATCCCATGCAAATATTTTCATCATCCTTAGTGAATATAGAATAATTGACATTACATTTTGTATACTCAATGTCTTATCAAAAGAAACACTTCCTATCATTATGCTATATTTGTTTACAAAGAAAACATTTCTCCATGATCAAAAGAACAAAATTGTGTGATGGGATTGTCTAACAGTCTTGTTTAATTAAGGAATTGTTGAATGCACTTTAGGAAAATTATAAATGTAAAATAGGGTGGATTTTAAGGCCTCCAACTCCATGACTTGCTTAAGGCGAGAAAATGGAGGGAGTTAGGAGCTCAGTCAGAGGCGCCACACAGACTACGAACCCCTAGCAGCAATATCTAGGGTGTGTCCCGGTATTGCCGCGAATGTTTATCAGTACGTTTTATCCTTGCACTGTATCAGATCACCACTTCTTTTGCTTATTAGATTCATGCACAGGCCAAGAGCACATGTGGACTGTCAAAAGAAAGATAGTTACCAAATTCATAACAAAATTCTAGAACTAGATATCTTGGTTTGATACTATACCGGTACTGACAATTTTGTTTAACCCATCAGAAATGTTTTCCTATTACATGTAGTCTACTTCACTACTTCCATGTCTGTAAACATTTATTTAATCCTACTGTAAAACCTGTGCAGATTGTGAATTTTTATATTTTCTTTGTAAATTAAACTGTTTAACCAAAATGATTGACTATTTCTTAACCTTTTAATGTCTTGAAATTCATAGGATTATTACTTTCTCCCAAATTCTCCATTATTATAGACTAAAGTTTTGGTTACAGTGATGATGTTCCATGAATCTTTCATTAATGTATGCACATAACATAAACTTGGTGGGTTCAATCATATTTTATAAGCTATTTAAAGTTATGTATTGTTATCTTTGCCTATTTTTTTTTCAAAGTGGATATGTTTGTTTGCTAAAAAAATCCGAAACACCATTTTCTTTGGAAATTACGTCTACATTAAGTGTTCATCATATTGTGAAATTTAAGTGTTTTTGTTGGGTGTTTCAAGTCAAGTAAAACTTCTAACCATATTTTTAAATTTTTCTGTAAAAACATAAAATAGACAAAAAATGTTTGCATGAAATTGAGTAAAATTATCCATTTTGAACCTGAAGTTTAAACATTTCCTATCTGAAGGGGAGGACCCCCCCCCCTTTCATACGCCTGACTGGGACGGTGGCCAGTCTTAATCCAGCTACTACTAGGTTGAACGAATTATGGATATTTATAGGTATGCACTGTGGATGTGATACTCCCTGGTGTGGATTAGGGTGTCTTCCGCACTAGTGAGTACTACGACAATCCGCAGTACTATCCTGATAATTAGACCAATTCGTAATTACAAGGCAAAAATGTGGTTTGGATTCCACTATAGGCCTAAGTTGTAGGTCCCTTAGTCACCATTGGCTGTATCATGGGCTATTAATTAACTGCTGTGTCTAAAGAACATGTCGGCCTTAGTCACTAACAAGACTACAAGATCGCACCACTCATCCTATACTCATCTCCATTCACACTTGTCTTAAAATATACCTACATTTGTATGATTAAGATTTCATAAGAAAGTATAAAGTACAAGATGTAGGGGGGGTTGTTATCCCGAACCCACAAACCCCCTTATATAGAAACCAGATGGATACCAATTATTACTGACATACCTACTCAAGATCCCTCATAGAGCCTATATTTCTTTGAGTATGTTATATTGAGAGCATTTAAATGGCTGAAACCACATCAACCAGAACAAATTACTTCTAGGTTACTAGATTTTGCTTTTCCTTACCACAATAACAAATACCATAAATTGGATGTCTTCTCCATGGTTCTTTCTCTTCTGTCACTTAAATATTTTTTTCACAGTTCTGGTTTACCTGGTACTTAGTTTTATCAGGTCATCATCAAGGTAATGTAGTGTAGATTAAACTACGCAACATGTTAAAAAGATCAAAAAGACTATCATGTAATTAGCAATTTGATTGACAATCAATGACCTTGAACTAAATAGTTCTTCTATCAGATTCACAGAAGATACCACTGTCTTTTCAACAGGCTCTACTCGTGCTCAAGCGCTTGACACAGCAGAAACACTTTTTGAGGAAGCCAAGGCATGGTTCTCCGCCTCTCCGGCCAAAAGATTTTTAAGCTGAACGAGGAAAATACTCAAAATATCGTATGTACCTTAACTCACTCGATATCCCCAAATTGAAACCAAAGTCCATCTGCTCGGTTTTACCATCGACCCCAAACTGACATGGGCGGAACATATCAAGGTTGTTTGTTGCAGGCTGTAAAGAGTCGTGTGTCTGTTACACAAACTTTCTAAGTTAGTAACCCCACAATATAATCTTGGTGGTCTACCTACATTTTAAACATTTCCTAGGGGAATGGGAGGACCCCCCCCCCTCCTCATATTCTCCTGACTGGGACAATGGCGTCGACCTGTAATCCAGCAACTAGGAGATCAGAGTGATATATTACACCTCTCTTTCACAGTGTTCTGAGCAACGGCCTAAAGCCCCCCATACACGGGCGAGCATGTTCGCGAGCATGCTCGTGACGGTGTTGGCGACGAACATGCTCGCCCGTGTGTGGGATCCGTCGCGGCGAGCATGTTGGGCTCGGCGTTCAGCTCGTCGGACTTGGCGAGCCCGAACACGAACATGCTCGCCCGTCTGTGGGGACGACCATATGTTCGATAGCATGTTCGTCGCTGCAACTTGGGTAGAGATGCTAAATGATTCCATCGATGTAGCCGCTACTATGATTCCAGTTACACTCGTGGACTCATTACAAGTAACCGTTCCGATTCCTAACGATTACTTTGTTACCACCATTACAAAGTAGCCGCAATAGACAGATTTCACTTGTAATCATCATGGTGTTGATACTCTGATGTATTCCAGTTACAGTAATGGATTTAGAATCAATGTTTACAGAAGCTAAATAAATATTTATTTGTGTTTGTAACGCAATAAATACGAATTTAAATGAGTTTCCAAAATAGAGGGTTCATCAATTACAATTTGTATATTACAGTATTACAGAAATGTGTACAATCAATTCTGTAGTAATTTGTCACAATTAAATAATTCTAAGAAAGGCTGGAATAAGCAGAACTACGAGAAATGTTATTGCACAAAGATAAAATTTTAACCAACATTATTTTCAAACCATAGCGGATGAATTTAATCCGATAACCTAAGGCCTGCACACACGGTCGATTTTTAGATAGGCCGATTACAAAATCGGCCAAAAATAAATCGCCCCTGATTTATGTCTAAGAAATAATGCGTATGTTGCAAAAAAAACTAAATGCTGTAATTGCAGTAAAAAAGCAGGAGTAGGCTAAATACACACAACTTGACTGTCACAGAGCACAAGAGAAGCAAGAATAGGCCTAGGAACCGCTACCGAGCGACGAGCATGTTCGCGAACATGCTCGTCCGTCTCTTGGAAACGCCAAGCATGTTCGCCAACATGCTCGTGAACATGCTCACCCGTGTATGGGGGGCTTAACGCTTTGGGGGCATGCACCTTCTTATAATGAAGTTCTTTTGCAACAAAAGAAGGTTGTCAGGATTATAACTTTTAACAAAAGATTGGACCACTGCCAGCCTCTTTTCATTAAAACAAAAATTTTAACAGTCTATAGCCACTTCATTCTGATATATGCAACATAAAAAAGTAACATTCCAAAGTTTCCAAGCAGATCGTCCTCAAAAGTGGCAGATTCAGAGGGAGGCGAAGGGGGCGACCGCTCCCCCTCAGGTATGCATAGGTATATCATTTTTATTGCACGTAATACAGTAGTGCATACTTATTACGTCAAATAATTTGTCCACAAACACCAAACAAGACAAAATCATGAAATATACCTTCCCTTCTGTAGACTCTCTAAGACAAAAAACGCTTAACGCTTTCCTGACCATAGCAATTTGGATCTACAACAGCTTACCTGAAGACATAAAAATCCTTGAAACAAGGAAATTTAGCACTACCCTGAAGTCATGGCTAATAACCAAGCATTTCTATAGCCTTGAAGAATATTTTGAAACAGTGAATACAAAATTTGTGTTCATCCACTGCCAAAAGTGAATAGGCCTAAATGTAAACATTGTAAAGTGTACGATACAAAAGTACCAATTAGTATTTTATGTTTTATTTGTTTTAATCACAGCCTATCCGGCATAGCTGGTCTTGGTGAAGAAGAAGATAATCAGGTAGGTATCGGTAACTCATAAAATAAACCAAATATTTTAATTTAGCCTGTAGGAAATGTTTAGTTTCATGACTTAAAAACTTAATTATATAGAGTCATTCTTAAAAAATCTTGCTGAGATAATATAAGCTGAGCGCATTATGTTACTGGCTCATTCACTCAACTACTAGTGTACCTGTTGCTCGAAATCGAGCAATTGTCAAGTACCGGTATTATACAGAAGTTATTTTAAAACTACAGTGATAACAGTCATAATTTTCGATGAGTTTAAAAGACCGGACAAAATGCGTATGTAACTAATTGAAATACTCACACTATTTAATAGCGCTTTGAAATAATAAACGCTTCTTGTAAAAATATTTTAGCATTTCTGGACCCGGCCTTATTTTTTAGTATTTTCTACAAATGTTTCCCGACTTATAAACTGTTACCAGTAAACATTTCTTGCATATTTGAACCGACTTGAGGTAGGTTTACTTTACCACTGTGACAACATGATGTGTATATTCTTCAATTTTATTTTTTTTTTTTACTTACAAAATAAACTGCTTAGCAAAACTGGCAAAAATGATTCATATCCCCAAGTGATTGTGTACCTTGATTCCTTACTGTGAGACCAGGCCTCTCCTCTACTCTTCTCATACGCATAAGTTTTCCTATTAATTGTCTCCTCCTCCTGTTTTCAGTATTTCTCCTTCAAACTCAAGAAATTGTCTGTTCTTCCAACTAAACTGATTGACTGTTTAGATTTGTCTATAACCTCCTAAATAATACAAACATCAATATTTACTCCCAAAAAGCTGGTGAGTTTCATTTTATATACAGCTGTTTTTGTTTTTGAAATTTGTTTTCAATGTAATTCTTACGGGGGAAAATGCGACCTTTGAGAGCGTCTCGTGCCCTTAAGGGTAAGAGTTTTAAAATTCTAAAACCTTTATGCAAAACTACGAATTGAGGCGAATTATTTGACACCTCAAACGTTAAAATCGGTCCAGAAATAAAGGAGGAGTTTTTTTCACAAAAAACAGCCCTCACGTATTAATATAAGAGATGCTTTCTTTTAATAAAAGGTGGCAGCTGGTTCATACAGATAGGATGTCTACTTTTTCCTACAGTTACCTAACAATGTACATGTTCTCTCACTGATTTGAGAAAGCAAAGTGGCCAATTCGCTCATCAGTGAGACAATGTTGACATTGTCTCACTCTAATTACTTTGTCTCACTCCAGATTTGCAACGTGAAGGCACAAAATAGTGAGCGCGTAACATGCAGGCAACGTCGTATGCGCGCGAAATACGTTGGCAGCACTGGCTGTAAATCAGCTGGTCAGCTGTTGTACTGTTGTATTGGTCACTTCACGTTAAATGTAATATTAAAAGTTCACTTCTGTGTAAAAATAGGTTATGTTTCTTCACCAATTTATTTGTTTTATGGTAACTGTAGGAAAAGTATAATGTGCAACTCGAGTTCAAAGTACAATTGCCTCACTCGAGAAACCATTCCTCACTCGCCTACGGCTCGTGAGTAAGGATTTCTCTCGAGTGAGTCAATTGCTCACTTTTCTCACTAGTTGCACAAATAACTATAGTATACTAGTCAATGGTAATATCATAGACAAAAAGAATGAAATATAGACTGTCAGCCGTGCTGCGGTTGCCATGGTTACCATAGGTTCCGGCGCACACCGCTGTAGTTTACGTAGCGCGTACGCCGTAACTACCGTGGTGCTCCAAGCGGTGTGCGCCAGAACCTATGGTAACCGCAGCACAGCTGACGGTCTATATTTAATTCTTTTTGTCTATGGTAATATGCAGCAGGTCTTCATAATGTAGGCGGCACGTGCTATATTAACGTGGTATTAATTTATGTGGTTAGTACCGTAGGTACCGGTATTCATCATCTTCTTTTTTCAAAACTCCTTGTAACAAGTAGTAAATTGAAATATTTTGGAGACATGCTATTAAAGAAATTAAGAAGAAAAAAGTTGTCTGAATAATTTCTTAATTTACTATGAAACGTATGGAACATCCCTTCAGACTTCTTGTTGCTACTAACTTATTGGATGGATTCACAATTTTGTGGCATTGTCTATAAACTAAAAGTACAATAGGTACCACGAGTTTTATCTTGCGGCATGGCAGGATCTGGGTCGTACCACTACCGCCCCACTAAACTGCTAGTGAAGCCACTGCACATGCGACAACACTGCAGATTGTGGTTCATATTCAGTTGCTTGTGGAGCCACCTGTTGGTGTCACGTGTGTAGGGTGTGAAAATTACAGAGTGATATATTACTGCCAAAGGAGTCGTTTAAGTTACCCTAAGAATGTGAATAATAATGAAATATAGATAGGCTACCACACAAGTAAAAAAGCCTATTTCTGTTTCAAAGTCAGTTAAGTAGGCAGAACGAAAAAGACGATAGCTGAGTCCTTCAGTCCTTGGCTCGGTCGGACTAAGAAACCAATGTAGCATTGTCATGATGTCATGTCCTGGTGTCGCCACTTAAAATTTATCAGGAGTAAAAAGTTTTTTCTTGTAAGTGTATGCTCATAGCCGACATCAGTTAGCCTGATATTATCACTATCAATTGAGATGGGGACGTGGGATATAGGAGATGGGGACCTAAGTGCGTATTTTAACCCAAATATGAGTGAAGGATGAGTGTAGAAATGGTGTGAGGTGATCTTTGTAGCTTTGTTATTGACTAAGATCAGCTTTTTCACTTAGCCAGGACCCTTACTTAAAGCCCAATAATCAGGGACAGCTGGGTACAGTTTTGAACTAACAAAAAGCTAGGTACTGTTTTTTTTCTCAGGATTGATTTGAACAACCTTTTGATTGCTAGGCGAGTAGGCCCACTACGGTACTGTATAACTGCTCAGCTACCCAGCCAGTCATGGTTGGCCAGTACTGGGGTGACTGATCCCCACCAATTGGAGATGTAATGATTCGACAGACTCGCACTGTAATCGGCCAAGTATTTAATTTTGGATAAGTAAGTTAAGTTTATCAATTATTTAAGATGGGGACGCCACTGTGTGCATATTTTAACCCAAATATGAGTGAAGGATGAGTGTAGGATGAGTGGCACGATCTTGTAGTCTTGCTAGTGACTAAGGCCGACATGTTCCTTAGACACAGCTGTTAATTAATAGCCCATACAGCTAATGGCAACTAAGGGACCTACAGTTTATTGTGGAATCCGAACCACATTTTTTCCTCGTAATTAAGGAATTGGTCTAATTATTAGGATACCGGTAGCACTGCGGATAGTTTTAGTAGGCCTACTCACTAGCGCGGCAGTTAATCCACACCAGGGAGCATCGCATCCACAGTGCATCACTATAAATATCCACAATTCGTGACCTCCTAGTAAGTTAGCTGGATTACAGGACGACGCCACCCGTCTCAGTTAATTAGGTAAAAGAAAAAAAATTAAATAGCCTATTTAAAGTTAACGAAGCAACATTTTTTTTAACTGTCACATAACTGAGTAGGGTAGGTACCTAGGCCTACATTGTTACTTAACTTAACCCTTGTAGGTCACTGTGAGTTAAAGATTACGACCCTAGCCTAAGAGTCTACAAGTTAGGCTAAGTTAAATAAGGACAGAATTAACATTATATTGGTTTAAATAAGCCTAATCTAAAAAGTGGAGATTTAAGTTAAGAGGACGTTTTATACAAAAAAAATATTAGCTTAGGATACAGCAAAATGTTTTGTTTTGGTCTGTTTAACGACTTAAAAGCTAGACTTAACTTATATAGGCCTACCTTAGGAAGTTCAAATTAGTAGGCATGATGTTGTTCTACATTTTAATAAGAGTTTACAAGTTACATTTAAGATATGAAACAATCAAAAGAAAATTATGTTACCTTGGTCATTTGAGGTTCTCCTTTTTTAGAGGAATAAATTAGTGTCCAAGTTAACACAATTCATCATCTTCTTCTTCATCCAGATGATCAAGTTTAATTTCTTTGCCTTTTTCTGGTTTTGCCTTCTGTTTCTTACTTGATGACGGTTTCTTTTCTCCGACAACATATTCTGGCATGACGACTTTAGAGCTCCTGAAAATCTGAGAAGAGGACTTATCTTCAGAAACCTCTCGCTTCCTTTGAGGTTTTTTGAAAGTAGGTTTGCTGAGCTTTTCACTATCAACATCCATGTCTTGAGATTCCTTTTTCGCTCTCAATTCTCTTAAGAAAGACATTGCCGCAGCAGTATTACTTTGATCCGACATATCATCCTGTGAAACATCACTCAGAGTATACTTGGTCCATTTATCTGGGCGCCGCAGAAAGTCTGGAAGATTTTTTTGAAATCTAGAGGGGGCAGGAGTTTCGGGTCTTTTAAAAATACTCTCTTGGCCACGAAATGGACGTGTTTCTGATTTCTGCCTCTTAAAGGTGGCCTTTTCTTCATTCCCATGGCTCCTTTTATTGTCATTGAGTTTAGCTATACTAGATTCATTACTTTTCATGACAGCGTCAAGCTTTTCAAAAACATTTTTTTGACGACTGACAAAATCTGCATTGTTGTCACTTTTGGTCTGAACGAAAAATCGTCCTTGACCTTTATCTTGATTTATCATCTTATAGGGCAAGAGAGGCTAACTTATGCAGACCTAAGTTAATGAGTCTTGACAGAAGTTTGGGATTATAAACTGGACGAAGTGTAGGCTATGCTAATTTACAAATTTACACTCATCACTTTGGATGCACAGCAAAGAATGGTTAACTTTCTATTGAACAATGTAGCCTATAGGGATAGGCTAGAAGACTTATCTAGGTAGCCATAGGTTCTTCCAATACGCTTTAATTAAGTTACACGTTACACCATAAGAAAAACATTGTTGTGTAGGCCTAGGTTATAAGGAACATTTACTGGGCTATAATTTAAATGTCACTAAGAATTCAGTTCAGTTTATGTTGAGGATAAATGAAATGACAGCAATGAACATAATAAATTATTCTTACAGAATATAGCCTAAATTGATTCGATTCAATTCAATAACAAAACACAAACAGAACAACACTTCAATCTTCAATCCTCTCCTCCTAATTCTTTATTTTTATTTTATCAGCTGTTCTTATAGATTTTGTTTTTGAGAAACAGTTTTCTTTCTCTTTCTCTTTGGACTTTGTAGCCTTTGTGTGGCTCAATTGTTTTCTTTTATAAAGCTGCGCTGTTGGCAAAATGGTGTTTGCCGTTTAATAAAAATAAAAATGAAATGAAATGAAATGTTTATCTACAGAAAACTAAATCACTTAGTCAATGATTTTTTATTATTATGTTTGTTGAGATGGTTTATGGGTTACTATTTGTTATATTATATGTATTTATCCATTAAATAGTTTTTAACCAATCCATTGATATAATAATAAAGCGTAATGAGTCTGTTAAAAGAAAATACCAGCTAGTGTTCATTTACAGCAAACTTGAAGGTAAATACAACGCCAACATTAGATTTACTAGGAATTCGGAATAAAATATTGGGAATAAATAAAGAACTTTTTAGTTAGAAGATATTATTTGTTTAGACTAGATGAGTTATACTGTGTTTATTGTCTATCTACATTATATGATAGATCATTAGACCATCAAAACTGAAATTTTATTGTAATGTTTGCTGATGGTGATACACCAGGAAAAGTGATGAGATACAAAATAACTAGGTGTGCAATGCAGTTGTATGCTTGCAATATTGATCGGAGCAAGTATATTAATCAATTTTTTTAAAGTCCATGCTATGTTACGTCTGTTTTATGTAAATGGAATGTCTACTTACTGTATCCAAAGTCAATGCTAAATCTAGTTCACGTAAATGAGACGTCTCCTGGTCGAATCCTTATTCAATGGTACCACAGACAATATAATACATGGTACGTTTGGTTCACATAATTAATGGAATGTCTACTTACAGAACCCAAAGGTAATGCTACATTTACAGTATCCAAAGTCAATGCTCCTTTTGGTTAACGTAAATGAGATGTCTCTTTGCAGTATCCAATGTCAATGTTGCATTTATATCACGTAAACGGGATGTCTAGTCTACTTGCAGTATCCAAAGTCAATGGTACAATTGGTTCACGTTAATGAGATGTCTACTTGCAGTATCTAAAGTCAATGGTCTTTCTGTTCTTATAAATTAAATGTCTATTGATGTATCCAATGCAAATGGCACATTTGGTTCAATAAGTAAATGGAATGTCTATTTGCAGAACCCAAATAAGTTATATGTAAAGGGGATGTCTTCTTACAGTATCCGAAGTCAATGGTTCATCCGTTACATATATAAATGTCTACTTGAAGTATCCAAAGTCAACGTCTCTGTTTCTTGTAAATGAGATATCTAAAGTCAATAATGCATCTGGTTCACGTTAATGTAATGTAAGGGAGTATGTTTTATCTATGGTAATGTCTAATTGCTGTATCCCAAGTTAATGATATATTTGGTTCACATAATTGGGAATTCCTATGTGCAGTATTCAAAGTAAATTGTACGTCTGGTTAACATAAATGAAAAATGTTTACTTGTAACATTAAAAGCCAAAGGTTCATAATCCTTATTGGTTATACATTTTGTAGCAAATAATGCTCAACGGTATCAATCCGATTGTTCTTCCCTTTTGTTCTCTATTTTGCAATGTGCTAGTTTAGATGATTTATTGGTAAACACATGTTACAACTTTTGTTTACCTTTTTATTGTTATCTTGCAAATACTGTCATGGCAACCAATTAACCCATTTAAGGCCCATGTTAAATTTCTAAAAGTTTAAATTCACATAGGGAAAAGCCCTGTGGTCCGATTTGTACCATTTCAGATTTATACCTTCCCATGGTTGGTTACTATGACTGTGCTAAATTTCATGCAGATCGCTTCAACCGTTCAGGAGGAGTATTTGTAAAACAAAAGCAGGAGTGTAGTATAAGAGCTTCGCTCGCTTCGCTTCGCTCCGCTCAATAATATCTGCTAGTTTGTGAGACAATCAATACCTTAGATAAAACATAAACACAGACTAAACATTTGAAATAATATAGGCTACTAATGAAATCTTTGGCTATACTCTGTCAGTTGTCAAAGAATCCACCATTAATGGTTGGTGATGGCACCTTGGGTTAACCTTGTCAGGAAAATCTACTTCATTTTAACAGCCTGTTCTAAAAGGAAGACACAAGTTTTAAGGTCTATGGACAACTTTTAACATGAGTTTTAGGAACGCCGACGTCGGATTACCCCCAGCCAAAAGTTTGTCCGGCTGTGGTCTTGTCCCCGCAAGGAACTGTAGGTGCCTGATAAAATAGGTTGATTTAGGTAATATGTTCAGTAATGTGCAGAGGAATGCCACTTGTATTTGATCTTATAATGAGAATAATAATTACTCATTTAAATTTTAGGAAAAAATAATATACTTTATTTTAGACTCGTAGGAGAAGGAAGACAGTGAAATCCTGGAACGCCTGTCCTGTTACATTCTTCCAGTAACACCTTATAATATGGGTCGAGGCCCAGATCCCTGTAATTAAACAACGAATTTGGAAACTGGAGCATTTTTATGCTTTCTACAACTCGAACATAAGTCACGTGCACTCGAGTCATGCGGGGAGTTTGAAAAATGTAATCAGCCACCGGCCCTCAGGCTAAAGAGGCTGTTTCAAACTTACATGAGACTTAACTAGGTTGCCTAAGGCGTGAGGGGGAATATTGTTTGCAGTATGAAACTCATTGCGAAGTTTTGAAATAGACATTCATAAAGGAACTGTGGTGACGCGTATGCCTCGTCTCAAGGAAATTGTTCAAATATTGACTGAAGGAGGAAACGCATTTTGCCCTTCTCGATAGAGGTTCGGTTTGTGGATTAAAAAACAAAGTTAGTACAGTACTGTACTATAAATTACGTTTGCAGCTTTTTTGCTAAAGTGAATTAAAACTCATATTACATATGCGCAGGGCCGGATTTAGCATTTTAGCGCCCCTAGGCCCAATAATCTTTCCGCCCCATAGTCTGGTTAAAGTTACTTTTCATATAAACCTTTATTTAACAAACTATAATATCAGGCTTGTTTTATGTCAATTGCAACACCCACTCCATAATGCAGTTCAATCAATGAAGTTTTGTTTTAACTTTACTTGGTTCTGTGTATTTTTGTCTTTTTGAAAATGTCTTAAACACTTTTAGCATATTATAGCCCACGTTTTGTGGGACTGAAACCTTAAGGCCATGTCACACCGACATCCGCCGCTCCCGCCGCGGGAGTACCGCGCGCGGATGTTTTTCCTCGAGCCATGTCACACCAAAAGTTCGCGTCCGCGGCGGGAGTTTTGAGATGAGTTCATCACAATTCGTTTTACATAAGAAACTCATCTTACCTGTTTAGTAGATGAAGAAGCAATCGAATGTTTATTAATTTGTTAGTGTAGGGCTACTTTAAAAAGTGAATAACTATTTTTTTTTAATATAATTTAGACCTTGTGTTCGAAGCATTTTAAATATGGTTGTGGATAAATTATCCACTTTCAGCTGTTGAACGTTATTTTTTGCTACACTACAAAGACTATTTACTTTTTAAATAAAAACATATGACCATTTTAAAACTATAGTTATTTTCCTACAGTCACCCGACAAAGTTGGCTTCCTTGTACTGTTTATAGTACAGAAAGCTGCTAATTGCTGCATATTTATACTTTGCCGTACGGTTTATACTTTGCCGTACGGTTTATACTTTGCCGCACATCAGGATTCCAACGAAACAACACAAAACAGCGTGGTTCCATTATGCACGTAATCCGTGTACGCTTGGAAATAGGTTGGCAACACTTAAAGATAATTATACTATGAGCAGCTGATTGACTATTATAACTACGATTTAACCTGTCATTTCGTGTTTATAGTTTCGGTATTTCTGAACTTTCTGGACTTTTCTTTTAAACGTTTTTAAAACCTTCCTACGATCTTAATAAACAAGAAAATACCTTTTAAGCATTTTTTTTAGGCGCGGAAACCACTTCAAATTACAAAAACATACGGAACTATATTCTCAAAACGCGGAGCACATTTCTTGCTGAGGAAAAATAGCGGAGTGATATGGACCGCGGGTACTACTTTCTCTAGGGCACCATTTGTGTTGCCAGCTGAACCTAAAAACGTGTTGCATAGTGTTTGAAAGACTAATTATTTATATGCTTTATAGTGACTGTAGGAAAAATATAATGTGTAACACGAGTGAAAAAGGCCTTTGCTGCACTCGAGATCATTCCACACTCGCCTGCGGCTCGTGCGTAAACATTGCTCTCGTGTGCAGCAAAGTGCCACTTTCACCACTAGTTACACAAATGTAATTTTTTGCTAAGCCTTCTATTGAAAGTTCAAGTTTGCATCAATTGTAAAGTTTTGTTTGTTGTTGTAAATCGAAAAAGTTGATGAAACAACGTCGGCAATACGACGTTGTTTACGTCGGCAATATAAAAATGTTTATGGGAAACATTAATATTTTCACCATAAACATTATTTTTGCATGGTAAACAAAAAAGATTTTTTTCTGGTGATAAACATAATTACGAAGTTAATACAAAACAACATCTACATCAT